ACCTCATTTGAGCTTGGTTTGACTAACATTAATGGAGGTGATAATTTGCAGAGATCCTCTCTCAAAAATGAATAGAATGGTCGGGCACATGGGCTAATGGGTGATTGAGAAAGCCCTCTTGGCATTTCTCTCAATGATAGCATGTGAGGGTCCCATGTAATTTATTGCTCTTGGCTTCCCCCCAGGTCCCGCTCCCTTTCACCTTCTATTGTGCGGCTCTTCTAGCCAATTTCAAGGCTACGAACGTGGGATTGCCCCCACTTATGTGGGATGTCATCCTTTTATGTCCCGACGTGTACACTCGGCCCCGAAAGTTGTATTTCTCGGATTGTTTTAATTATATTTTATTTTATCGGTTCAAATAAAATATGACACATGTTCTCCATCATTATTGGGCCTTATAATGGATATATATTCCTCAACTTTAATTTAGAAGTCTCCGAAATTCCTTTTCGGGCTGTTATGAGATAAACTGTCGATACGGATAATTGGGCCTCGTTTGACCAACCGGTCAACCCTATGCCTTTGCCACAGCCCAATTTGGATATCCAACACCAAATACATATTATCTAGGCCAAGATGAATATAATATGTTGTCCCGATAATATCGGGCGGCTCCCACTCTCGGTGTGGGCCCCACGTGAATTTTACTATTCACGTAAACGTAATGATAAAAATTTACCATCACGTAAAATGCGTTTACTCATTTCTCAGGTTTCAATACATAATTTAATAAAGTAAAAATACTTGGGAGCGGTGTTACAGAATAACCTAGAGAGAGGTCAGAGCAAGTAAGAGAGAAAGTGAGTATGTATTCGATATAGTAAGTCGTGTCATTACAATGGGAAAATTGGCTGCTATTTATAGCAGCCATAAATGCTAGATCTAATTAGCGAGGGTACACGTGTCAAGCAACCAGCGGTGGAGGGTCAACTCAACCAGGGTGGCGCCGACCATAGCACGTGGGCGCATTCAATGCAGTGATTTGGGTGTAACGTTGTACTTGATGCGGCGATTCAGTGCATGTGGGAGAGGATATCTTGTCGAGAATAGTGCCTTCGGCCGTACCTACCTGGGCCGAAGGACCTGCACACCGGGGGTCCCTAGTGCCGAAGGCTCTTATTTCAAGCCATGTTCTTTGGTGATGTTTCTGGACCAGGTTTTCTGAGTTTAAAGCCTTCGATGTGTGGGGCCAAAGGCACATCATGCGTATGTTTGATGGGCTTGGCCCATTTGGGCCTGTTAGGCATGATTGTTGTAGTGGGAGTATGTGGGTCGGGGGTTCCTGGGTCATATATTCCATCAGGAGTCCCCCACTCCTTTTGTTGAGAGCTTATCGAAGGAAATAGGAGTAAATGTTGTGATGTTACCGGGAGCTCCTTTGTTTGTAGTTTGTAAAGTAGTGAAACATCTGTGTTTGTGTACTTTGTCAAGGGCATTCCCCCAGTCCCCCATATTTTGGGACTGAAGGCTTTTATTGATGTCTTGAGAAAACTTTTAACCTTCTGTGATTTTCCCGAAGGGGTTCTCGAGTCCTCCACTCCTTGAGGCACATGTAATGGGGCGAGAAGGAGTAGAGTAATGCCTATCTTCAGTATAGAGCCAAGGGTTGACGCCTTTGCTTCATTTTAGGGAGATGCCTCGTTAAAAACCTCATTAGGAAAAACCCTGTGGGAAAAAATCCTAATGAGGGAAAAAGAGTACACCGGATGCCCCCAAAATGAAGTCAAAAAGTGAACCTTCAGTCTCAAATGAAGGGTACCACTGGGGACGAGGGCCATTCATAATCTGTGGAGAGTAGCTCCGAGAGGCCGAGGGCTGTTTATGATCTGAGGGCGGCAATTGCCGAGGGGGAGGGCTGAGGGCTCCCGAGAGGTTTCCCCAATCTCCATGCTGAGGGATAAATGTTGCAGGAGGGTTTTTGAATGTGCTAACCCGAGGGCTTGCTCCGTTGTTGTTTGAAGGGTGCCAACTGAGGGCACCTCAGGCTTTTTTCAAAAATAGTCATTGGGATATTACCGTTGGAGAAGGCGTCCACGTGGTGTATCCTGGTTGGCTTGTTACGAGCGGATGTCATCGGTTGGCTAAGGCGACGGTTCGTAATGATGGGCTTTTAACTCGAGGCCCAAACTCAAGCCTTAACCGCAGTTGGGGAGGCTATAAATACCCAACCCATTTGCCTTGTGTGATTTTGTTGCAGCGAAGCTCTGCCAACATTTTCCTAGAGAGAGAAAGCGCTTAATTCGATCAAACCCAAGTTTCTGAGGTCAGTTCTTCCTCCATTCTTCATACTTCTTGCACAATTTGCTTAGTCAGCCTTAGATCTAGTGTTTAGAGGCCTTAGGATTTCTTTAGTCTAAAACCCCTCGATACCTTACCGAAGGATGTCATCCGCGAGTGATTATCAAGACATATCTAGAGATCCCTCAGTTGGGTCAAAAGCTTTTACTGACGAAGGGTCACCAAGTTTCGAGGCCTCTTCCAACAATGATTCCGCCGTAGCACAGGAGGTGCAAAAGGATCTCGTGGCCGAAGTCGAGGTCGAGGAATTCGAGCAAGTTGTGAAGGATGAGGAGATTGCCCTTGCCGTACAAACTGTTGAGGAGGAGGAGAAGGAGCAGTAGTGAGTTACCGTCGCTATCCCCTCAGCTGTTACCAGTGGAGCGGGGACATCACGAGCACTCAGCCCAGAACCCCTCAGAGCTGCTCCGCTGAAGAAGAAGAAAAAGGCTCCCTAGAAGAAGCAAAAAGTAGCGGACTCTAAGAAACCTGTGGGGATACCCGAGGGGCACTCGTACTTGAACACCGCAGCCCTTACGCTAAAGTCAAAGGCTGACCGGGCAGAGTGTTATGTTACTCAGTTTCACGTTGGGCCCTCAGCGACGGTGATAGAGATGGGTCCCAATGATGTGTTGTCCCATGCTCCAGAGGGGTGCTTCACTGTCCATGTGCTATCTGTCTCACTGGGCCTCCGGTTTCCACTGCATCCCTTCCTTCTCGAGTACCTCAGGTACGTAGGTTTGGCCCCCTGCCAGCTCACTCTGAACAACCATTCGTATATAACAGGCTTCTTGCACCTTTGCCGGTCCCAGAAGATAACTCCCAGCCTTCATCTATTCTTTCAAAGCTTCAACCTTTGCCGAGGAGGTCACACCAACGCTGAGGGGTTCACCAATTTGCAACAGATCCCCTGGTGGAGGCTATTCTCTGACTTGCCTTCGTCCCATAAAGGCTGGAAGGACCGCTTCTGCTACATCAAGATGGCGAAGAATCCATTCCCGGGGGAGCCACGGAACCATTTCAGGCGCCATCCAAAGGTGGAGAGTGCTGCCCTTGAGAGAGATGGTAAGAAGATATCAGCATTCCAGGATGGGTCCACCAAGCTGGTGACGATCAAGGACTCTACCCTCCCGGGGATATTTAAAGTCTGGGCTTCCGGCGGTACCGTTTCCTGGGGGAAAAGAATGACAAATACCCCCTCCTTGGTTGAGACTTCGAGAGCACTGGAGGTGGTTCCCAAAGACTCTGTATTGTTTGTACTTAGAGAAAATTTTGCATCGTTTCTCTTTTGCCTTCGTATCTGACCCCCTCGGTTTAATTTATCCTTGTTACTTTGTAGGTGCTAACATGGATGTCAAGTCTTTTGCTGGCCTGAAGAAGAAGTTGGCAAAAGAGACAAAGAAGAAGGAGGCGGGGACCCAAAAAACCGTCAATGAATTCTTCAAGAAGGGTGGTGAGCCCTCGTCTGCTGAATTCGAGGCCGGACGCACCCAACCTGCTGCTGCGAAGAGGAAGGCATCTGGTAAAGCTGTTGTGCCCGCCGGTAAGAAGCAGAAGGGAGGGGATGCCACGAAGAAGGCTCCCCCGTAGTGATTCTGGAGGAGCATTCCTCGTCTGAGCCCCCGGTCGTGGCAGCGACGACCCCTTCCAAGCCCCCCACGGAACAGATGGGTGAGGGGGGCTTGCCCCGGGAGAATATACAGTTCTCCCTTATAAAGGGGACTCCCATCGTGCATGGCACTGTGGACCCGAAGGAGTTCTTGAGGGGTGCTACCCCTCAGCTAGATAAGATAGCCATAAGCCGGCTTGAGGATGATGCCCTCGAATCCAAGATCCTCTGGGCTTCTCTTACTGTAAGATCCCCTTTGTCTTTGTTTCCTTGGTCAGTTTGCCTTAGCATAGTTTACATAGTAGTCTAACTCTTGCCTTTTGTTTGTTTGTTAACAGGCTTGCATCGGCCTCGGCAAGCATATCCGAAGGGTGGAGCAATTGCGTCTCGAGAAGGCGCAATCTGACGAGTCCTTGAAGAAGCTTGTCAAAGACAACGCTGCTTCCATGAGGGAGATGTCCATGTTGGAGGGAGATGTCCATCTCTCTCCATTCATCAGGTACTCAGCGACTCGGCCATCACAACTCACAAGTTCTTGGAACAAGATGAACTTGTTTTTGGACATTACTACATTAGTACATTACTAATTAGTAATGTCCCCCGGCTTTTGCCCCACTGATTTTAGTGGTTTGCCTTCCGGGGTAAAAAAAAACATTACTAATTAGTCATTGGAGATTTGTAACCAACGAAAATATTAAATTTGGGCTTCATAATTGTAATGGACTTTTACAATACTCTAGAATTAAAAGTAATTGTTGGGTAGGGAGTCGGTACGGTATTATACCGGTATACCGCGGTATTTGAAAACATTTACCGTTACCGTACCGAAATAAATCGGTACGGTATGATACCATACCAAAAATGATGGTATACCAATATTCCGGTATTTTTCGGTATTTTTCGGTATGGTAAGTGCGGTATACTAATTTTCTAATATTTTTGCCCACCCCTAGTCATGTATAGGGGTGGATATTGTCAGGGCAGGGGTGGGCTCCAGTCCAAACCAGCCCATATATTTTTTATTTTTTTTGGCGAGATCATTGTTTTAATTAGTATAGATACAAGTTCAATGTCCAACCCACCCTAAACTTAATGGCCAACCCACTCCAAAATTAATACTCAGCCCAATCCAAGCCCAGTGCCAAATCATTCCACTCAGCAAATCTGCGGCCTCTTGTGGGAAGCGGAAGTGCGGAACTGCGAAGACGACGAGGGAGTAGCGGAATTTGCAAAAAAAAAAAGAGGGAGTTGCGGAGCTGAGAGAAGACAGTCACCAGTCGACCTGCGACCACAAGCCGCGCCACCGCCCGCCGTCCACGTGTGACGCGTCCAGGCCCCTGCTTTGGCATCTTCCTTCTCAGGTTGTCCGACTCTGTCCTGCATGCTCTCTGCGGCTCTGCCTCTAGTTCCAGACTTCCAGGTATACTCTAATACTATTTTAAACTTTTTTTCTTTATTAAACGTTGTATTATTTTGTGAAGTATTGTTAATTTTTTTTATTAACACCGAGGGCCTGGAGTATTTGTGTAATTTGTGTCATTGTGTTATTGTACGTATTTGTTAAACATTGTATGATTCTTTGACTTTTTGTTATGTGCATTTTTTGTAAATCTATTTGATTATTAATTGAATTTTTTAGTATATAATAAAATAGTGTGTATCCATTATAAATTTAGGGAAAAATAATTAAAATACACTGAACTTTTAAGGGGTCTGGTATGAACACACCAAACTTGTATATGTATTTTAAATACCCCAAAATTCGTATAAAAACTTATATTGGCACCATGTTCAACTGTTCAAGTATTATTTCTTTCAAAAATGTAAATTTATGGTGTTGATTGCATAATTTAAAATATTTTAGAATTCATGAAGACACAATTAACATTATAAACTTCCATTGCGAAATAAATAATGTTACCCCCAACCTATATAATTGCAACAATTATAATTTTCTATTTTAAATTATGTGCAACCAAGTCCATAAATTTACATTTTTAAAAGAAATAATACATGATAATGGTGAGAAAATAGTTTTTATATAAAATTTGGGGTATTCACATTACACACGCAAGTTTGCGGTGTTTAATTCAGACCCCATCAATGTTTGAGGTATTTTTATTATTTTTCCCATAAATTTATAATGATTCAAGATAGAATTATAGATCAAAGAATGATTTATTTATTATACAATTGGAGATTAGAGAATGATTTATTTATTGTGTGGACATGTAAGAAAGAATTAAAAATTTCAATTCATCATCGTTACCCCAATGCCGCAATGGCCACCTACAGTGGAGTAAAGGGGGTCGGATGTAAGCAGTCTTACCCCTGTGCTTTTACCCCTGTACTAAAGCACAGAGAGACCGTTTCCGGATGACCCATAGTGAAAAATGCGTCGAGAATTGCATAGACTAACGGATGCTTCATAACAAAGAATAACAGACAGTTTAGTGAGTCATTTTGATGTATTCCATCATATTCCCAAGCAAAAAAATAGCGAGTATTTGGCTCCATTTCAATTGATTTTTGAAATTGGGAATACTTATTAGTTGTATGTACAACGATCCTTTTTTTCTTATTAGTTTTATAATTTTATAGAATTATTTTAATTCATACCAATCAAGCATGTGAAGACCGCACTTCGTAACAAAATGAGAGATGTTTTCTTAAAGACTCATTGATGATCTATATTGAACGAGATTTTGTCAATAATATAGATGTAGATTCTATTATTGATGAATTTTATACTTTGAAGTCGTGTAGGGCACAATTTAAAATTTTAAATGATGTTTTGACGTTTTTATGAATATTTAAAGTGTTGATGACTTGACGTGTTATTATGTACTTCCTCCGTTCTTTGAAAAGTTGTAACATTGGGATTTTTGGACTATTCACACACCTTACTTTGACTACGATTTTCTAATAATATATATAATCAAATTATTATGCATAAAATGTTATTAAATTTCTATTAATGTAAGTTTTCGAAATATTAACTTTTTTAATGTTTATTAATACATTATTAAATATAATTACACTCAAATTTGTGCGTGGCAAACATGAAAGTCAAACTGTTGCAACTTTTAAAGAACGGAGGATAGTATGTTTCTTCAAATTTTATTTCTCAGCCCACTCCATTGTAACTTTCTGGATCCGCCCCTGCTCGTATGTTGTTGTTGTTGTGTTCGTTCAACTTTGAGAATTGAAGAAAACAGGGATTAAGTTCTGTTTTTTTATTATAAATTGCCTGTTTTCATTGATTTTTTAATGTTGTCTAAATAAACATAGCGTCGGTTTTGAAGGGGGGCTGTTCAAGCAAACTAAATTACTATACATACAGACATACATGGATAAATAAACTGTGAATGTTAAAAATTACTGTGTCCAATTTGATTACCCTCACTCTGTTATGGTTAGCCTGCCTTTGTCAGTAGCTCAAGCCTCAAACTTAGCCTATGTCATTGTATATAGGCTTTCCCTCACAAATAGAGGCGGATATGAAGAGGGGTCTCCAAATTTCATTGAACAAAACCCAGAAGATTAGGCTGGAGAGAGCAGTGGAACTGTTGGAGTCATTCTCATCAAAAACCAACTCCAATGCCTCAGTAACTGTTTCTGATGTCATTCCCATCGACTGCGACGATGGTGTTCTCAAGTACGTACATATACTCACTAGGGGTTGGTAGTCTTTTTCCATCTTAGCCACGGCCCCATGTAGTTCCACATGGATTAATCCATTTTTATGTAAATATGTGCATGCACATATATACCTACATACAGAACCATGATTTGTCTGCGATTTTGTGCTTGTTCAAATATCTATGTTTTGCTCATACATGTGCTATATTATATTAAAAATTGTTCAAAGTGATACTCCCGCTGTCCCTATTTATTGGTCTTCATTGAACAAATTGCTTGTTCCTTTTAATAATTTCATGCACATCTTCTTTTAAATTCTACCCTTCTTATTCTTTTGCGGAAGAGATTAATTAAAATTACATGAGTTAAATCACGTACTTTCAGACTTCTAGTTAAAATTAGAAAATGCTATAATTAATTTATCATTCTAATGTATTTTCTCAAACTGTGTGAATTCTTCGCTGAAGAACTCACACAATGAAGAGAAATAGACAGGAACAATGACAGACTTTGGAGATTAACTCATACTTGTATATTGTAAAACTGAATGTTGGGAATAAGGCCTTGTTGTTGTTGTTGTTGTCGTTGTCGTTGTCGTTGTCGTTGTCGTTGTCGTTGTCGTTGTCGTTGTCGTTGTCGTTGTCGTTGTCGTTGTCGTTGTCGTTGTCGTTGTTGTTGTTCTTATTGTTTATTGTAAGTTGATTGTTGTGTGAAGGGGACATGGAACGACTGAGATGGACGGCCATATTGTGGCAACCCTATGTGGAGTTGTTGAACGGGTCAATAAACTTGTCTATGTGAGATCTTTGAGGGCCAGGTTTGTGCTGTTAAAAAGATTTATAGTTACAATTGCTGTTTGCAATGTGTAGTATATAACGCAAAGAAAAAATCTTTTGAGCCTTGATGATAATAACTGTAGGTACAAGCCAGAAGTAGGTGACATCATCGTTGGTAGAGTGATTGAGGTTATTGGATATTTTCTTTTTATATTTTTTAAATGGGTTCCTCAAATATACCTGCACATGCTTGCTTTATTGGACTATGGGTGCTATACATTGTGTTTGGGTTACATTTGCTCCAGTATCACGCTTATAAGCATTATTATGGGGGTAACCAAACACACCACACCAAGTATTACTCCATCCTAAAAACTAATCTTGTTTGAGTAAGGTGCAACATATTTATAGTCAACTCAATCAAGGTACAAATTATTTTAAATTTTGAATTATCACTTAAACCCTGAAAATTCATTTCCATGATTGTTTGGCACAAGTGTTTAAACCACCCAGCTGCTTGACTTTATAGGAGTTTTAATTTAAAATGAAAGTTTACATTAAAAACTGTATTTTTTTGGGACAAAAGAACTTTTGAGGCAGGACTTTTTTTGGGAGATGGAAAGATTATATATTATTTAATTTGGGTGTGGGTGTGTGGATGTGAATAGATTACATTTGTAATATAGTTTTATTCAGTTTTTTCCTGTAAATCAATGTAAGGTTGTTTCAAAGAGGTGGAGGTTAGAAATAAACTCTACCCAAGATGCTGTGTTGATGCTTTCATCTATGAACTTGCCAGATGGCCTCCAGGTATTTGTCTCCTATTGTTTTGAGTTGTTGGAATATAAAACTCAAAACTGTATTATTTTCCCTTATAATAGTATATATATACATGTTTATATTTGTTAGCTATTCGCCGGAAGTCTAGGAAACTAACATCTCATTATGTCTCAGAGACGACGAACTGCAGTTGATGAACTAAACATGAGAAGCTTCTTTGAGGAGAATGATGTTGTCTGTGTATGGATTCACCACTTTCATCTAGGATAGTTTGAATGCTTTGTTTGCCCTAGCATTTGGGGATCCAAAAGTTTTGAATTGATATTTTTGGTAGTTTCTGGGAGTGTTTTTACTTCACAGTGATTTTTGAAAATGAACATAAATTCAATATCTCCAAATTTGAGCTAATGGAAAACTGGATATACAAAAATCATGTTTTGAATATAAATATTCATTCTAAATTTCTAATAAACGTCTACATATTTTTTAGAATCCAACATTACCCATGTTGCATTAAAAAAAAGACTCTTGACTGGACTGTCTAAACACTTATCCACGTTTGTTCAACAAGACATTAACACAAATTGACTTTTCTACAGTTAGGGGGCACACGGAGCCTCAGTAATTTGTTGTCTTTTATCATTCTCCATTTATAAGTTTGAAGATATTGTTTAGGCTGAAGTGCGTGGTTTCCAGCGTGATGGTAGCCTGCAACTACAAGCTAGAAGCCAAAAGTATGGAAAGGTTTGTTTATGGAAATTGATTGCACCACATAACTATAACACGCACACCTCCATTATCCATTTTTTTGAGTGTGCGCAACTATCATAAGCATAATTAGATTTGTTCATGTACTTTTATATATATATATATATATATATATATGCATATACTTTAACAGACATAGTTGACAGCACTGTTTTTTTAAGGGGAAACTTATTTTAAATACCCTAAACTTTGAAGGGGTGTGAGGTAAGCATCCCAAACTTACATATGTAATATATATACCCCAAACTTTACATAAAAAGTTATGTTAGCACAATAGCACCATAACTATATACTCCTTCTGTCCCCCTATCTTTGTCCCGTTTTACCTTTTTCGTCCGTCCCATTAAGTTTGTCCCATACCATATTTGGTAATATTTGGGTGGCTACAATTCATTCTTACTTTATTCACATTTTATCAATTTAATACTAACCACACATTTCTACTTTTTTTCTTAAAAACCCCACCACACCCCTTTGTCCCAAACATAGGGGACGGAGGTAGTATTTTTTTATTCAAAAATGTAAACGTATTGATGTTAAGCCCATGATTTAAAATACTTAAACATTTATAAAGGTGCAGTTACAGCATCATAAATTTACATTATGAAAGGAAAAAAAACGTATGTCATGGTACTAATATTACTTTTTATATATAGTTCGGGGTATAAATATTACATATGAAAGTGTGGGGTGCTAACATCACACCTCTTCAAAGTTTGGGGTATTTAAATTATTTCCCCCCTTTTTTAATTTAATAAGGAGTCAATATTGAGATATAAAATGTATAGATAATTTCACACCTCTTCAGTAAATACTTATCTAATTAAATTAGTTGAAAAGGGTGCATTTATGAAAAACAGCATGAAAATTTCAGATAAATAACTGTTCATTGAAATCAATTTATTTCTGTATTTGTACAACTTCATATTACGTAGTATAAAATAATATTAAGTTACTTCATTGACACTATTCAAATTATTTTGCAGCTCGAAAAGGGTCAGCTACTTATAGTTTCTCCCTATCTAGTTAAGAAGCGGAAACAGCATTTCCATCATCTGGACCAGTATGGGATCGACTTGATACTTGGCTGTAATGGCTTCATTTGGGTAGGGGAACATGTTGATCTAAAAGATGACACATCAGAAGAACAATTAGCAAGCGAAACTATGCAACCAAACACGAGCAAATCTAGCACTCTGATGGTCGTTGATGAAGAAGATGGCCAAGAGGAGAAGTTCACTGCCCAGCAAATCAGGGCGTACATATGCAGAATAGCAAATGCCGTTAGAGTGTTGTCTCATTTAGGGTTCATGATAACTGTGGAGGTGCTGTTGGAGATGGTTGGTTGGAGTGAGTCGTTGAATTTTGCTGTGCATGAGATGCTTGATGCAGAGTTCTATGTATTAGTTGCTGAGAAGGAAGCCGAAAGGCGAAGCAAGGTTGTCAAGAAAAGATGATTTTGCTGTGTTCATTATTCTCTTTGGATGTTGTTAGGATGGTTCAAAGACGAGGTTTTTGAATGCTTGGTTATGATGATTTTAAAGTTGGACCTGAAGCTCTAAGGCTGGCTCATCTATTCTCATTTTAGCTTGGTGTATTTATTTACGTTTGAAAATGTTGTTGTTTTCAATTACGATTTACGAATTACAAAATGGCTTTCCGATAGTTTTTATGTTATTTTTATTGAGAAGGCAACTCTATGAGTATTTTTTTTTGTTTTAGCTTTTTAAAACTATTCGATCTAAGCTGTTTGAAAAAAATTACTCCCTCCGTCCCGAAAAGGTTGGCCAAATTTCCTTTTTTAGATGTTCCAAAAAGATTTGTTATTTCCATTTAAAGTAAGGAATATGTGGTTAAAATTAATTCTCTCTCCCCTGCACAAATTTCAACTACACGGTTTTTACTTTATTAATCCACGTGAAAGTCAACTTTGGCTAACCTTTTCGGAATAGAGGGAGTATCATACTACGTATGATATAGGCTCTGTTAGGCGGACCATTTAAGCTCATAATGAGCTGAAATATTTGAGTTCCAGTCAAGTAATATACAATTAAAGGTGTTGGGATAAAGGATTGGTTTGAACTGGAAGCCTGGAACTAGAAAACAATAGCTGGATGCCTGGATTGAAAAGCTTAGGCTGACAACGTTTCCCTTCCATGGATTCCCTCTTTCCGATATTAGCCTCTTCGCTTTGCCTTCTGTTTCAGTCTCTTCTGCCACCTTCAAAACAAAGCTCAATAAATTCACTACACTCGCTGTTTTTGACTCTAGAACACATAATTATTTCATACTATGTACATGTTATTGCATCTCGCATTGTTCATTTTATAAAATTGAACAATACTCATCATTTTCATTTACCCCAGTGCCGCAAAGGCTCCCACCTACGGTGGGGTAAGGGGGGTCGGATGTACGCAGTCTTACCCCTGTACTAAAGCACAGAGAGACATAAAATTGAACAATACTATACCTTTAAAATATGGGATGACTTCGGACTAAGATAGTGCTATTATTTCATTATATATATAGCATTGAATCCAAATGCACGCAAAGATACTAAGATAGTACTATTATTTTAATACATATATTTATTCATGTATAAATTGAAAAATAATACTCCCCCGTCCCTATTTAAAAGCATCCATTTGAATGACACACATCTTTAGGCGAATTACTGTTCACCCTTTGACTGACCTTTTTGCCCTTCGAATTGGTGGGGGGTAATTTTTAAAGTTACTAGTGTACTGTTCACAACAGTACACTGCAACCTTTTCAGACTTGTGCTTTATCTGTTCTTATTAATCGCCTGCCGCCAACCCAAAAAAAAGGAGGGAAACTATTCCCTTTCATGGCTGCACTGTCATCATCAAATTCAAAATTCCCCCCAAAACCAGCATTAAAAGGCAACAGCCCAACGAAGTAGTGCCAAATTACATCAGTTTGTCACGCAAAAAATGACAGAAAGTTCTGAGTTACAAATTGCTACAAGATCAAAGTACAAAAAGCTGTCGAATGAAGATAGAAGAACTATCCAAACTCTTCTTCTTCAAAGTGAAAGGCAAGATGACGGAAAGATTGGCTATGGCAGCTTGACAAAAATAGCCAAGCAGTTCCGGGTGCACCGGAAGGCTATATCAACAATATGGCATCTTCTCATGCAACAACAGGCATCTGGAATTCCTTGAACCCAGATCTGAGGATGAAGGGAAAAGTCGGTAAGAAAGGCTTAGTCATTGACCTGTCAAAAATGCTGCATATTCCTCTAAGCAACAGAAGGAATCTCAGGTCACTCTCTGCAGCTTTAGGTCATCCAAAATCATGTGTGCACAGACTCAAACAAAAAGGTGAGTTCAAAAGTCACACATCGGTTATCAAACCTCATCTTACAGACTTGAATAAAATACAGAGGTTAAAATGGATCATTTCTAACATTGAGGAGGACACAGTAACAAATGTACCCCTGTATAAAGGCATGTTTAACGTGGTACATGTGGATGAAAAATGGTTTTACATGACAGAGGCATCCCAGAGGTACTACCTACATCTGGATGAGGTTGAGCCTCATAGGACATGTCAATCTAAAAGATTCATCACTAAAGTGATGTTTCTGTGTGCAGTTGCTAGACCAATTATACAAGCAAATGGTGAAGTGATTTTTGATGGCAGAATTGGAATATTCCCATTTAGTACAATGCAACCAGCTAAGAGAAACAGTAAAAACAGGGAAGCTGGCACACTTGAGGAGAAAGCTATTGTTTCAATCACAAAGGATGTTTACAAGGAATGCTTTCTCAGTTTTGTATTGCCTGCTATCAAAGCTAAGTGGCCTATAGGTGTGAGCAAACATATTTACATACGACAAGACAATGCATGACCTCACATCAATCCAACTGATATTGACTTCATAAGAGAAGCCACTTCAGATGGATTTAACATTGAACTAATATGTCAGTCTCCTAATAGCCCTGATCTAAATGTGTTAGATCTAGGGGTTTTTAGAGCTATTCAGTCACTGCAACAGACCACACCAAGGAACTCAGTTCATGATCTCAGAGTGGGGGTGGAAAGTGCTTATGCTCAGTTCAGTCCTATTGCACTGAATCATGTTTGGTTGACTCTATAGTTGTGTATGAATGAAATTATGAAAGTCAGGGGAGGCAATAACTACAAGGTGCCACACATAGGAAAAAGTAAACTAGAAGCTCAAGATAACCTACCAATCTGTTTCAAAGCTGACTCAAATGCATTGTTGGAGGTGACTGAAGAATTGCCCTTGGAATGAACTTGGATTGACCAATGTGGAAGTGTTTTTTGGGGACTGAACAAGTTAAGTATTCACACTTTTTACTTTTTGGAATACTTGACATGTTCAGTCCATTAAAAAATGGGTACATACTCATTGGAATACATGGATAGCTTTTTTGGATAGATTGACAAACTAGTGCAGCAGTTAAGATATGACAAGGCTGAAACTGTTTTAGGGTTGTGAACATGGAAAGTATTCAAATTTTTCACTTTTTGGAATACTAGACATGTTCAGGGATAGCTTTTTTGGATAGATTACTAGACAAAAATTTGGTTGTAATGCATTTCATTATACCTACACAAATGTGACTAATGCAACCTCTACTTTTGTATTTTGACTGTAAACAATGCTTGCCACACATCCCCATGGTCTCCTAGGGTTTCCCTTGGTGACTCAGTAGGGGTGAAACCACATAGGAAGCACACACTACCATCACAGACGAATTACAATCATCAGAAAACCAATCACATGCAGTTCATCATTGAAGACATTCACATTACAAACCCCCATGGTCTCCTAGGGTTTCCCCTGGTGACTTATTACGCCTCAGACACACATAAACAGTTCACAGTTTCATCATTGACCTCATACAAGCATCACACACTGACCTGAGGCCTCATACCAAACACACTCACAGATCATTGACCTCAGACAAGTACACATTGACCTGAGGCCTCATATACACCACAATCACAGATCATTGACCTCAGACAAGTACACACTGACCTGAGGCCTCATACCAACCACATTCACAGATCATTGACCTCAGACAAGTACACACTGACATGAGGCCTCATATACACCACAATCACAGATCATTGACCTCAGCCAAGTACACACTGACCTGAGGCCTCATATACACCACAATCACAGATCATTGACCTCAGACAAGTACACACTGACCTGAGGCCTCATACCTACCACACTCACAGATCATTGACCTCAGACAAGTACATACTGACCTGAGGCCTCATATACACCACAATCACAGATCATTGACCTCAGACAAGTACACACTGACCTGAGGCCTCATATACACCACAATCACAGATCATTGACCTCAGACAAGCATCACAAACACAGACAACAGTTCATCATTGAAGACATTCACATTACAAACCCCCGTGGTCTCCTAGGGTTTCCCCTCGTGACTCATTAGGACAGGAACCAACTCCATTAACATCACACTCACCATCATGCACACACTGCCATTCAAATGGATGCTTTTATATAGGGACCTGAGGCCTCAGACACACATAAACAGTTCACAGTTTCATCATTGACCTCATACAAGCATCACACACTCACCACTATGCACACACTAATCTGAGGCCTCATACCAACCACACTCACAGATCATTGACCTCAGACAAGTACACACTGATCTGAGGCCTCATATACACCACAATCACAGATCATTGACCTCAGACAAGCATCACAAACACAGATAACAATTTATCATTGACCTCATACAAGTACACACACGCCTGAGGCCTCATAGCACTGTCTCAAGGGTCAATCACAGCACATGCTTTCTCAGTTTCATCAAACTGAACTTCAGAGTCGGGGACAATCAAATCTGCAAGAGACACCAAACACTCTTGCTCATTACGAATAATCGGGGTTCCAGTCGACTCCAACTGCCAAATCGGGGTTCGAGCCGATGGCGACTGCCAAATCAGGCTTCCAGCCGACGGCGACTGCCAAATCGGGGATCCAACCGAGGGATCTTCGGAGTCCAGAACAACAGCGGTGTCCACCTCTGCATCTACCAACCATTTCTGTTCCACTTCGTCCGTAGCACCTGGTTTTGCCATGGAGAAGGTGGAATACGAAGAGGGGAAGATGGGTGGGTGAAGTAAATGGAGAAGGTGGAATACGAAAAGATGTAGCGATGCGAGTGGGGTGAAGTACATGGAGAAGGTGGAGTAAGACGAAAGAGGGGAAGAGGTGAGGCGGTGGGAGAAGTAAATGAAGTAGGTGGAATATGAAAAGGTGAGGCGGTGGGAGAAGTAAATGAGGGTAGGAAGGTCTTTTTGTGTGAAGTTTATTTCCTAAAATAGAAAGGAGACTTTTATTTGGGGACACCCCAAAAAGGAAACAAATACTTTTATATAGGGACGGAGGGAGTAAAATATATATACACACATGCATACATAGGGATGGACCTGGTCCCGGTCCGGTCCTGGTCCCGGTTCCGGTCCCAGACCTGCCGATCCCGAGCATGAATACTGAAGACCGGAACTGTCCCGGGTTTCTACGGACCCGGTTCCGGTCCGGTCTTTTTTTTTTTTAAATTATTGTACAATAAATAAATGATGTATATTTATTTTAAATACTACATTGTCAGTTGTATCAATATCACATTTGAAAATTACAATTGAAAATTACAACACATGAACTATTCGTCGGAGCTGCTTCCGGCGTCGGTTGTCG